TGTTATGTACTCTTATTTATTTTGAAAATGGAACTTGCCCCTATAATTAATTGTAAATGGTCAATGCAGAGCATCCAAACGTTGTGTCGGTTTTCTTGAACCAGGGAAGAAAACTACACACAACACATTCATGGGATTTTATGTTATTGGAGAAGGATGGTGTTGTCGATCCCTCTTCTTTGTGGAAGAGAGCTAGATTTGGTGAAGATTCAATCATAGCCAACCTTGACACCGGTAATTCTAATTCTCTCCCTTTTTCTTACTTCTTTGCCTTACCTTTTCTCCCCTTAGTTCCCCTTCAAGTATAGCACATTGGACCACAAAAATGAGCATTAATACTTTCATCCCTGAAAGTAAAAGGCCAAGTGAACAAGAACAATATGTGATGATTTCTACATATATAACACGCTCATTTGATAGCATCAACACACGCGCACACACACACACACACAAACTGTTGTCATAATCGTTAACATGGTGTAGGTGTTTGGCCCGAGTCGCGTAGCTTTAGCGAGGAAGGAATTGGGCCCGTACCATCAAAATGGAAAGGAACATGTGAGAATGATACTGCGGTTGGAGTCCCTTGCAATCGGTTAGCTCTACGTACACTCCCACATTTATTAATTCGTAACCTTTAGTTATTTAATAAGATGAATGGCTTCATGCATCATAAGTCAATGATGTTTGATGCTTGCCATAGCATATATACCGAAGGGCACGATTTCAATGTCCCGAGATACGCCGTGAAGCCATGGATGAAATAGCAAATACTTAGGGGTAGGATATGTAAAGTTATTGCTTGGTTTTGATAAATTCACTTGTGAATGTCTTTTTACTTCATTGTTATATAGAAGAAACCTATAAAATAAATTATCTTTAACACAGTAAGCTTGCGTTTACACTAGGTGAAGATTTATATTACTTCAATAACAAGAAACCAAATGATTCGGGGTGCTCTCCATTGAATGAAAGGCTTGGAAATTTGTGCAGGAAGCTTATAGGAGCAAGGTACTTCAACAGAGGTTATATTGCATATGCAGGAGGCCTCACCTCCTCTGATAATTCTGCTCGTGACAAAGATGGTCATGGAACTCATACCTTGTCAACCGCAGGCGGTAACTTTGTTCCTGGAGCAAATGTTTTTGGCTTGGGGAATGGAACTGCTAAAGGTGGTTCCCCTAAAGCTAGAGTGGCTTCCTACAAGGTGTGCTGGCCGCCGGTCAATGGCAGTGAATGCTTTGATGCAGATATCATGAAAGCCTTTGACATGGCCATACATGACGGGGTTGATGTGCTTTCGGTGTCACTTGGCGGCGAACCTACTGATTACTTCAATGATGGCCTAGCAATTGGAGCATTCCATGCCGTCAGTAATGGTATTCCTGTCGTGTGCTCCGCTGGAAATTCTGGACCAATGGATGGAACGGTCACTAATAATGCACCTTGGATTATAACTGTTGGAGCAAGTACCTTGGATAGAGAGTTTGAAACTTTTGTAGAGTTACGTAACGGAAAGCGCCTCCAGGTTCACATCCCTTTACAGACCAACTTCTGTTCCTCTTTTTTTTTTTTCCTTCGTAGCCTCCGAAGTCCTTTTCATTCTCCACATTGCATGCAGGGCACAAGCCTTTCAATTCCTTTGCCTGAGAAGAAATTCTATCCTCTCATCACCGGGGAACAAGCCAAGGCTGCCAATGCATCTACAGCAGACGCGTAAGATAGGACTTTTCAAATCTTTATAGGGTTGAATTGAAATTTATACATTCATCACTATCTACTTGTAGTTATTCCAAGTGAAACAGGCGATGCCATTGTTTATGTGTTATGTAGCTTGTTGTGTAAGCCTAAATCACTGGATCATGAGAAAGCCAAGGGTAAAGTTGTGGTTTGTCTTAGAGGAGAAACTGGTAGAATGGATAAGGGCTATCAAGCTGCTTTAGTTGGTGCAGCAGGGATGATTCTTTGCAATGACAAGGCAAGTGGCAACGAAATCATAGCAGATCCTCATGTTCTCCCAGCAGCACAAATTACCTACACAGATGGTCTTGCTGTATTTGCCTACATTAATTCCACCGAGTATGCTCTACCACCTCTCTTTTTTTTTGCCTACTCACTTCACACATTATTTTTGTCAATTCTTATGTGCTGCGAAAATTAACAGCCATGCTCTAGGATATATTTCCGCACCAACAGCGAAGTTAGGGACAAAACCTGCTCCATCCATGGCTGCATTCTCCTCTAGAGGGCCAAATACTGTCACGCCAGAGATACTGAAGGTTTTGTTGTTGATCTTAAGTTGTCTTCTATGTTCACATTTTTGTGACACTTTCATCAAGCAATGACCTTGTAAATATACAAGGACTAAAAATCCACTTCATTTCGACATGTACAGCCTGATATAACTGCACCAGGAGTGAACATTATAGCAGCCTTTAGTGAAGCAATCAGCCCTACTGATTTTGACTTTGATAAGCGCAAGTCTCCTTTCATTACCGAATCTGGCACATCTATGTCTTGCCCACATGTTGCAGGTGTTGTCGGACTTCTTAAAACTCTCCATCCTGATTGGAGTCCAGCTGCAATCAGATCTGCAATGATGACAACAGGTAAGACCTACCTAATTCTCAATTTAACGTTGTTAGAGCATATATTATTGCATGACGTTTTAGCAAATTTTCTAATGCGAACATCCATGCAGTTAATCTTGTTCTAATTTGTGTTCTATGTCAGCAAGAACGAGAGCCAACACTATGACACCAATATTGGTTGATGGGAGAGATGGTTTGGAGGCAACACCATTTAGTTATGGTTCTGGACATATAAGACCAAACCGCGCTCAGGATCCAGGCTTGGTCTATGACTTGAGCATCAATGATTACTTGGACTTCCTGTGCGCTAGCGGATACAACTCTACCATGATAGAACACTTCTCTGATGGTCCCTATAAATGTCCAGAGTCAACTAGTATTTTTGATTTCAACAATCCTTCAATAACTATACGCCAGCTACGTAACTCAATGAGTGTGATCAGAAAAGTGAAGAATGTAGGCCTACCAGGAACTTATGCTGCCCACGTTCGAGAACCATATGGGATTTCAGTTTCTGTCGAGCCCAATATCTTGACATTTGAGAACAAGGGTGATGAGAAGAGTTTTGAGGTTACTTTTAAGGCTAAGTGGGATGGCGTAACTGAAGACTATGAATTTGGAACCCTAACATGGACGGATGGTAGACATTATGTTAGGAGTCCTATTGTAGTTGCTTTTGGCGGTGATAATTAGAGAGATGACAAGGAAGATTGTCTTATTGTAGGGTTTTGCAAGAGGACGTGGGATCAGTAATAATATAGAGAGCAGGTCATAGACTTTCTTTTTATTTGGGTCATTGAAGTAGTTTTTTCTATAGTAGCATTGTTGTCTATTGTTTGCCTCGCCAGTGTATTTCATGTCTTTCTTTCATATTCGTTGGGATTTAGTGTCCAGATGAACGGTTATGGTAATTATTGTTATGATCACAATCAAGCAGAGTACTCAGATTGACAAATTCTTACTATGATTTTGGTAGCAAATGCAGGAAAATAAATCAACTCCAGTACTACAACTCCTAAAGCAGCATGATCATGCTCCTATTTTACCGTTCAATTTCCTAATGCTGTGACCTTTTGCTTTTCTTCTGTACCATATATAGCACCCTGCAAAATCTTACGTGCGTGCGTTTGTTTACATGCATGTCATGCCCTATATACTGGGGAGGCCTTGTTGATCAGGATGCTCGCAAAGCTAGGAAATATAATCGCAAATTAACACACCCAATGCAGTCGCAGGGAACTTGGCACATATGGGGGATCTAGCCATGGACTGTACAGAGAAGTATGATATTGGTGCGATTGACCCTGGAAGACTTGTATCCAAGTTTTATGGTGATGCGCTCGGCTATATATCTTGTTTCATAGGACGCCAAGTTTTATGGTGATGTGCTCGGCTATATATCTTGTTTCATAGGACGTGGGTGGGGTTAAGGTAGATGTTCAGAATGTACCGGAAACGTACAATAAATAGAAACTGATTTACGGTCAGAAGATTGAGTTTGCAACCATCGATCGGATTGATGAACGTGTACAGCGTACAGTGGTGGAGATATTTGAGCCATCAGCTGAGCAGTACTCTGGTGATTCATGTAGCTACGAGAGTACTAGAACACGCATAAAGGGAGGAGGAGGGGCAGGTAGTTCTAATGGATATTCAAGTATGAAGCCAAAGAGTTGCTCCATAAATGGGGAAGAAGACCAGAGATGAAGAAAAACTGCTGACAATAACCATAGATGCCTGCCTGCCTGCAATAATAGAGGTTGGGACACGGTACTGAGATTTCAATGATTAAGAAAGAATCTGCATTAGCATGTGTATATAATTATGACTGATTAACTGTTAACGAAGAGGAGGAGTACTTAGTATATGATCGATCATGTGATTACAAGCCATTATATGCATGATATTTCCCAGTTTATACACAAAGTAAGTAAAAATTTTATTACAGCAAAGCCATAATTTTTATGATGGTGGTAAGTATAAATAGTAATTCATTTGGGAAAATACTCTATTCTCTTTTATCATGTATTTCTTTTTTTTTTTTTTAATAAAACTATAAAATATTTATTTATATTTATATTTGTAAAACTTGATTAGCGAATGAATTCACTCTATATAAAAATTTATTTTTTTATAAAAATAAAAAATATAATTTTGATTTAAATTTAATTTTTAAAAAAAATTAATGAATAAATTTTGACTAATAAGCTAGATTTTTTCTCTTCTTCTAACTATACTCAGTCGTAGCATCATAAATTTTGAATGATTTTAAAGATGGTAATTAATATTAAGCAAGAAAAGAGCTGTGCGAAGGAAAGCCCATGATGATGCTTGGTAATGGGCCTGTGGGCTACTGCAAAATAATAATAATAATAATAACAAAAAGAAAAAGAAAAGGAAAGGGAGGTGAAGGAGGGAGGGACAGCGAGGAGGACAAGAACGAAGGAAAGGAAGAGAAGAGAAGCCTAATAACGTGTGGGCTTCGCTGGTGAAAGTCACAAATTCAGCCAAAACTTTTAGATTGCTTTCTCTCGAAGACAAACCCTAAATCTTCAGATTTCAGTTATCGATTTCTATCTTCCTTTTCTTTTTTCCTCAATCGTAAAAGGAAAGAAGTCTGATCTGATAATAGTTTGATTACAAAAATGTCATACGCATATCTATTCAAGTACATAATCATCGGCGATACAGGAGTAGGGAAATCGTGCCTGTTGCTTCAATTCACTGACAAGAGATTCCAGCCTGTCCATGACCTCACCATTGGTGTTGAATTTGGAGCTCGTATGATCACCATCGACAACAAGCCTATCAAGCTTCAAATTTGGGACACCGTTCGTTCCCCTACCTTCCTTTCCCTTGTTCTTAATCTCTTCTCTTAAGAAGAAAATCTGTAATTATGTTTAAATCTTCATTTTTTTATGATTTTGATTTGTTTTAGGCGGGTCAAGAATCATTTAGATCTATCACCAGGTCTTATTACAGAGGTGCTGCTGGTGCTTTGCTTGTCTATGATATTACCAGGTACGCTTCCTTCTTATGCTTGTTTCTGCTAGCCCAACAACAAAACTTCAACTTACGATGTTGATCTTTTCATGTTTTTTTTATTCTTTCCCTGTCTCCTTAAATGCTATGATGGTATCTATTTCTGTTTCAAAGCCTGCTTTTTCCTTTTTCTTTTACTTTATCTAAAACAAACCCTCTGTTCCAATATTTTCCTTAAAATTATTGTTGTTGTTGCTGTTGTCAATGCTTCTACAATCCTTGGCATGCCTCTTTGCTTCATCTAATGTCACGAGGCAGCTAGAGGCGGTTTGTTTTGCATCGAAATGTGTGTGTTTCTGGTCTCAAGTCTCAATATTGTAGCATAAGCTAGCAACTGAATGATATTTGGCTGTTTAACTTTCTCATTCAGGAGGGAAACTTTTAATCACTTGGCTAGCTGGCTTGAGGATGCAAGGCAGCATGCCAACGCAAACATGACCATTATGCTCATTGGTAACAAGTGTGATCTTGCTCATAGAAGGGCCGTCAGCACTGAAGAAGGTGAACAGTTTGCAAAGGAACATGGCTTGATCTTCATGGAGGCCTCTGCAAAAACTGCTCAGAATGTCGAGGAGGTGAATACTAAACATAATGACCTATATGTTGAAACACTTGTTGACATCTTCTTTGTTTTTTGTCTAATTTTTCTAATGCCAGCATTCTTTGTGCAGGCTTTTATCAAAACAGCTGCAACAATATATAAGAAGATTCAGGATGGAGTTTTTGATGTATCAAATGAGGTCAGGCCTATTTCTTTTGCATAGTATTTTCCACATTTCAAATAATGTTCATTGAGGGTTCACAAATTGAAATATTATTCTTATTTTGTTCTTCGTATCGTTAACATGCAAGTTTTTGTGACCTTAATATCTTTTCATCTTATATTGTCGATTTGCATCAGTCACAGTTTTTGAAGCATGGTTAATATGCATGTAGAGACATGACATGATGTTGGCACTCATGTCTTCAATTATTAATGGATGAAAGTTGTAAGTGATTTGGCTGATATTCTTTTTGGATGTTTGCTTCATGCCAACACTCATTTTCTCTTTTTTGATTAGTTGCTTTCCACTTATTAACTATATGAAGCTTAAAACTTTTGAAATTTAGCTATATTGGTATTGGTCTTTACTTGCTTGGACTTTGCTCTTTATGTTCTTCTTCTCATGAAATGAAATGAGTGACATCAGTTGGTATCCTGACAGTTATATAGTACTCCATAAGGTTTTCAATAAGATGAGGTTTCTTACCATCTTTCTTTAGTGTTAGGATTGGAGTTTTCATGAGCTCAATCCATTCTCAAATTAGCTTTTCAATTTGCACTTACAGTTTTGAAGCATTGTTAATATGCATGTATAGACACTGATTCCATTTCACCAGTATTATTAGATGAAGTTGAAAATAGTTTGGCTGATATTCTAATGGGATGTTCTGCAGTCTTATGGGATAAAAGTTGGGTATGGAGGAATTCCGGGGCCATCAGGAGGCAGGGATGGCGGTTCTGCTCAAGCTGGAGGCTGTTGCAGTTGAAATTGAATACCCATTTTCTATACTTGAGCGCATCCAATTTACATATTTATTCTGTTCTTTATGATCGTCCCATGTTTTTTAGTCTGAACGTTGTGACTTGTTTTCTGTAAGTGTCAATTCAGGGTATAACGTATATGTATAATCCTTCTTCATGCCGTGTCCATTGATTGTAAATCCATGGGTTGATCTTCTGCTTCTCGTTTCCTTCGATACTGGGCTGTTCCAGTAAAGTGTTCTCCTTTGTGTTAATCTTTTGATTTTTTTTTTGTGGGGCCACTATAGCTTTGTTTTCATCTGCTGGGGTATATGAATTTCAGAGTAAATTTTCATTGGTTAAATAAATAATAGTCTCTCTCATTTTCAATGCTTCTTCAACTTCTCCATGCATGTAAATAAACGCATAATCTCTCAGAGAAAAGAAAAGAGCTTGGCAGACATGGATATTTGATTATGTTGCAATGCCTTCCACAAACAATGAATGAAGGATCAGAGCCCATTTTGGGTAACTTGTTGAATATAAGTTTCCTAGGAAAGCATGCAGCCTGGTATTTTAACCTAGGAAAGCAATGGAAGTTCGGAGATTCTGCAGAAGAGAGTTGTATTAACAAGTAGTTTAGCCTATGAGCTGATCAACTTGGGAAGTGCCTGGGATTCCAGTAGTAGAGATGCAACTTGGGTTACGTGTACCAACGACAGATGGGAGGAGTGGAGCGATGTCTGCTAAGGAAGACGACGATAAATAATAATAATAAAATAATACAAAATTGGTGATAGGAGTACTGATTACTACTTCAACAATAAAAGGGGGGGAAATCACTAGAAACTCTTTCTTTCCATTTTTCCACTCCTTGTTTGCTGTCCAGGGGCATCAATCCGCACATCTGAGCAAACTACTGCATAAAAAGATTTTTCAAATCTCTCTCTCTCTTCTCAAAATCCTCATTCCATCCCTACCCTACTTTGGGACGACAAAAGGGGGGGGGGAGAGAGAGAGAGATAAAGGAGTGTGCTGCATCCCCCACCCAATCTGATCTGAAAATGATTAGAACTTGAACGGATCCATGAATTCCTTCACTCTGTGAGCCTTTTCAAATCTCTCTTTCAGTGTATCATTCTGATTGATTGTTTCCAATTACTAGTATATTATTATATCAGATCAATTCTTGTTTTATTGCTGCTTAATAATGGCTTCACCTGGTAATCCACATCAAGGAGGTGGGGGGGTAATAGGAGAAGGAGGAGGAGGTTTTGATATGAATAAACTGCTTAAACCCTCTTCTGCAAATCCTATGAGTATAATGCAACCCCCAAACCAACAACAACAACAACAGGGTCCTTCTCCCATTAGTAACACTATCACCACTGAGAATCTCACTACCTCTCCTTCCTTCCCTCTTCCTTCCTCTTCTCCACCTTATCTAACTCCATCTTCTTCTTATCCCCCTCCTACTGGCCCTTATCACCCTTATCACCATCCTCACTATCTCTCCCCCTACCCTCCTCCACCTTTTCAGCAACTTCACAATCATTTCTTTACTAATACTAATATCCATCACCAAAATAGACCACAGCCCATCTCTTCTTTTGCACCTCCTCCTCCTCTCTCACCTCGTAATTCAGGTGGTGCTGTTTTGATGGACATCTTGACCAATCAAAACCAACAGCAGCCACCTCTCTCCACTAATCTTAGTGGGCCTTTCCCTTCTTATGCTTCCTCCACTGTATCCACTGCCTCCAGTGCTCCTCCTGTCCCCTCTGCTCCTTCTGTTAGTTTAGCATCTCCGACGCAGCAATGCTGCACTCCTCCAGTGAGGATGCTCAGCACCAAGCTCCCTAAGGGCCGGCATTTAAATGGAAGCCATGTCGTGTATGATATTGATGTGAGATTGCAAGGTGAGGTGCAACCTCAACTTGAAGTCACACCCATCACCAAATATTTATCCGATCCTGGCCTTGTTCTCGGCCGTCAGATTGCTGTTAATAGAAATTACATTTGCTATGGACTCAAGCCTGGTGCTATTCGTATCCTCAATATTAATACTGCTTTGAGATCATTGCTTCGCGGTCATAACCAGGTTATTTCTCTCTTCTTGTGAAGGTCTTACGATTATCTTGTGTTTTGTGTACCTAACCTTGATTGAAAATCGACATTCATGACATTATGTAATACAGTAATTGGCATTGTCTAACTGATAGTGAATCTCACCTTGTGATAATTTCTGAATCAGATTTCAATTAAAAAAGAATGTATTTGAAGTCTTTTTGATGAGCCATTACATTTGAAACATGCTGCTAGAATGTTTGTTCTCAACTTATCCTGGCAAGTTGGAATAGTTGGATAGTGATTTTCAATAGCTGCACTCTTCAAATTAAGTGCAGGTAATATTCAAGTGACCAAGTTATGGAGGAAAACCCTTATTCCTAAATAATTAAGCTTTCCTATTCCGTTGATGTCAAATTAACAAATCACATTACGGATATAAACATGAGAGTTTACCCATTCTCCTTTATTGCTTCTGGATTCCGTTTCTGTTTCATTTCCATCAATTTGCTTACTGTACTTCGAGAAGAGAGGCAAAAATTCCTAATGCTTCTGATAAAATCCTGATTTTGTTTGGTACTGAAGGTTCTTGACATAATAATCTTGCGCAGATTCTGGACAGACTTGCAGAGTAAGCCTCATTAATTTCATTACCTTAGTTGGCTGCTGTCCTTTCATTTTTAGAAGCAACCTCCACTACCGAAATGTTGTAGCTTTCTTCTAGTTATCCAACATCTTTTGTGTACCTTTGATATCAATTTTGGTTATTGTTTAAATACCAGTATAAAAACTATCTAAAACATTGCATGATTTTCTATGCAGAAAGTAACAGACATGGCTTTCTTCGCTGAGGATGTTCACCTTCTGGCCAGGTAAATCTTAGCATTGATATTTTTTTCCTATTTATAAGCAAAAGATGCTTACTTTTATTCATGCAGTGCATGTGTTGATGGATGTGTTTTCATTCGGAAGATCAATGAGGGCCCAGATGAGGAAGAAAAACCTCAAATTTTTGAAAGGATACTTCTTGCTCTTCACATAATAGCAGATGGAGAACTGGTCCACCCACGAGTGTGCTGGCATCCACACAAACAAGTAATTGTGGATTTTGATGTTAATGTTATCAAGATAAAATTCCCATCCCAACACATCTTTCACCCCTTGCACTGGTATTGATTTATGTTATCTCTTACTATATCTTTACTGTAAATGAAAATGTTGTAGGAAATTTTGGTTGTTGCAATTGGAAACCTCATCCTGAAGATCGATACCAATAAAGTTGGAAAAGGCACGGGATTTTCGGCTGAGCGACCTCTCACTTGTCCTGTTGATAAGCTCATTGAAGGTGTCCAGCTTGTTGGTAAGCATGATGGCGAAGTCATTGAGTTGTCAATGTGTCAATGGATGACCACCCGTTTAGCTTCAGCATCAACAGATGGCGCGGTTTGTTGCCTCCTTTTCCCCCTTACCTTGTAATCTTTTAGTTTGTCATTTTTTTATCTGCTGGTAGCTCTAGTAATATCTAAAGGTTACATAGTCTCAAACATTAACCAAACTCCCCCTCCTGCTTGTGGCACATATGGCAGGGATGGTGTATAACTAGCTGTGTTTGTAAGATTTCATGTTTACATTTTAAGTCTGAGTTGAGCCATTATCAATTTTTCTTTATGGTCGTATCATCATAAGACTTGTCAATATATTCAAGATAAGCAATGTAATATTCTTTTACTGTTTTTAATCACCAAACACTTGTTGTCTGCTGCACAGGTCAAGATTTGGGAAGACCGTAAGGCAGTACCACTTGCAGTATTCAGACCACATGATGGTAATCCTGTAAATTCTGTGGCGTTCCTGACTGCCCCTGACCACCCTGATCACATTGTTCTTATCACTGGGGTAGGCTCCTATTCTTTTTGTTCTACATGATGGTGGTGCTTAATGATGCTAGACTTTTTTAGATGACTAGAGAGAATTTCATTATACGTAACTCAGCCATTTTTTACTGGCCTTTGATAAGAGTGATATGGTTATTTGATCATAGCAATTTAGTTTCAAAATCACTTTCATGTTCTCTAAGGTGTTGATTTCCTTTAATATATGTTCAATGTGTTGGATGTTTGGGCTTGCTTACATCTCTCCTTTTTACAGGGCCCGCTGAATCAGGAACTGAAGATATGGGCCTCTGCAAGTGAAGAGGGCTGGTTGTTGCCTAGTAATGCTGAATCATGGTGGTGCAATCAGACTTTGACCTTGGAGAGTTCGGTTGAATCTAATGCTGAGGATGCATTCTTTGATCAAGTGGTAGCGCTGCCCCGTGCAGGCTTATTTCTGCTGGCAAATGCCAAGAAGAATGCCATATATGCTGTACACTTGGAATATGGGCCTTATCCTGCTGCAACCCGCATGGATTACATAGCTGAGTTTACAGTTACAATGCCTATTTTGAGTCTTACTGGAACTAGTGATAGTTTACCAAATGGAGAACATATTGTTCAGGTTTACTGTGTGCAAACACAAGCTATTCAACAATATGCATTGAACTTGTCTCAATGCCTTCCACCACCTCTGGAGAACATGGAGTTGGAGATAACAGAATCTAATGTTTCTCATTCTTTAGATTCTGATGGTTCCGCTATTATGGAATCTTCTCATGGAAGTAAACCCGCTTATATGTCTGCAGGTAACATTGCTTCCATTCCACCAATGACTTCAAACAGTCCTGAAAGTGCTCTTGCAGCAAATCATCCAGAAAGCTTAGGTTCTTCTGATGTTAATAGCTCACTAGATATAGCTTCTTCTGGTGGGCAAACCAGGGCTACTGCATCACATACTAACGCTGACAATACCAACACTGTAACACCCCTTCTACCGATGAGTCCAAGGTTGCCTCGAAAGTTGTCAGGTCTCCAGAGCCTGTCAAATAGCACAGATACTAGTTTGCAGCTCAGTGATCATGCCGGTGACCGCAGAATTGAAACTGTGAAGGAAAATGCAAGTGATACATCCTCTGGTGATAATTTGAGTAAGGGTGAGAAGAATGTCAAACAAACTGATATTGCAATGGTTTCTGAAACTCCAATAATGTTTAAACACCCAACCCATCTTATAACTCCATCGGAGATATTATCCAGGGCTGTTTGTTCTGAAAATTCTCAAACCACTCGGGGCC